ACCCGGGACCGGACTGGACTGGCAGCGGCCGGAGGGTGGGTCTGGCTCCCTGTGCGCGCCTCTGACCCCGCCCCGCCGCTCCCACTGCTGCAATATGGCCGAGCGGGCCCCGCCTCCCCCGAGCCGCGCCTTCCCCTGTGTAGACAGCCCCGAGCCCGGCTCCCCGCGTCCACACGCGAATGCAGAGCGCCCTCCCGGCGCCTTGTCAGCCTGGCGCCCATCTTCCCCCTGGAGAGCCTGGGCAAACACCGCGGGGCATGCCAGGGAGCAGCCAGGGACGCGCGTTCTTTGCGCCAGCGTAAGGGAAAGAAGCAAAGGAACGAGCCTCCAGTGACAAGCAACACACGTGCCTGGGGAACTTACCCAGACTTGGCTTTGTTTGGTTTTAGGGCTACTGGGATTTGGAGAAAAATTCTCCTTCCCACCAGCCCTTTTCCTCCGTGTGCTGTGCTCCTCTCCCTTCAGGTAATGGGAGGAAGCAGTTGCATTGCAAGCACTTCTGGAGGTGCGCTTATATTTGTCTCCGTTTTTTACCCTCCTTTATCCTTTGGGGCTGAAAAGTGTCATGCTTACTCTAAAAGGGGGGAATTTGGTTGTCTTTTTGAAAGCCTTCACATTTTCATGGATGGAAGTGGTTTGATTACTGTGCAGCCAGATTTTTTCACACTTTAAGAAAACTTTCTGACACTTGCTTTGGCTAGCTCATTTGTTTGTATGTGTAATGTCACTGATATAGTCAGGGATGTAGTGCTAAATTTGAGAATGCGTGGAACTCTGCGGAAGTGATATTGGTGATTAATTATTCTGTCACTAATTTTTACCAATAAACTTTATCTAATGGAAAGTCTGCGAACCATCCGTTATGAGACTTCACACACTAGTGTCTCTGTTTATATATTTTAGAGATTTTGTGCATCTATCTGAGAGGACTCCTCCAAAATGATTAGAGTCAGGACCACCAAATTTGGTATCCTAACTTAAAGCAAGTCAAGGCTTGGTTTTGCCAGGACAATGGGATGTGCTTGGAATTCGATTGTTTTCTGTAACATGGAAAGGGAGGGGTCTGATAGGAGGGACAGTTATGCTCCACCATGACCGCAGGGAGCACAGGGGACAGTTATATTGCAGAGTGACCACAGGGAGATTGCTGCACCAGGAAGAGAGTGGCCAGCCACTGACCCACATAAGTGCCCCCCCCCGCCCAGCTCTCTGCTATAGCACCGGATGGGGGGGAGGGGCTCAGAAATCCCACCAGCCAGTAGGCCTGGCTCCAACCCCTATGAGAAGCCACTGAGGGGAGCTGGGCAGTCCAGCCCCACCCCTACAAGGAGCCAACAGGCAACCCAGTTCCAATCCCATTCCCCTCCTGCAAGGAGCCACTGTGGGGGCACTGGGCAGCCCAGCCTCGCTTCCCCCCCAAGATGAGCTGGCAGGGGGGCTAGTCAGTCTGCTCAGTCCTGCTCTCCTCCCCCTGAGGAGCTGCTTGGGTGCTGCTGGCCAGCACAGCCCTGTCCCCACCCCCCTGCAAGGAGCCACTTGGGGGGGCCACCAGCCCATCCCCAGCACACACACTCCATGAGGATCCACCAGGGGTCTGGCCAGCCCCACCTGTCCCGGGAGGAGCTGTATTTAGAGCAGTATCACCCTCACTGCCACCAACAGACCCAGTGAGCCCCCCAACCTCTCAGCCCCCTGGTCTGAGCTCCTTGCCCTGAGCCCTCAACCCCTGCCCTGACTCCTGCACCTCTATATCCTCAGGCCTCCAAAGGACCAGAGCAACACAAGGTGAATCTTCTAATAATATAGATGAAGATATAGATATATAAAATATCAACATAAGCTATCTGTAACTCAGTATTTATGTGATAGAAATGTAGCTCTGTTAGTCTGGTGTAGCTGAAACAAAAAACAGGACTATGTAGCACTTTAAAAACTATATAGCACTTTTCATATGTGTTCATTTTTTTAAATTGTATCCTTTGATATATACGGTTGTGACAATTTTCTTCCACTATTTGATCTGAGGAAGTGGGTCTGGCCCACGAAAGCTCATCATCTAATAAACCATCTTGTTAGTTTTTAAAGTGCTACATAGTCCTGTCTTTTGTTTCAGTATTTATGTAACAGACTTTAAGTAGCAAGGCATATCAAAAGCACAATACAGTTAGTAAAAAGCCCATGGATGGGTCATGTAAAATACCAGTTTTACAACATCAATATTCTCTGCAAACTTAACATAAGGGCAAGATTCCCTGATATGCTCAATAAATCCAATTTAGCTGGATGATCAGACCAAGTTGGTCGAGGTTGTCTAGTAGTCTCTACTTAGTCTGACAGCACTCATGCATCCCGGTTGCCTGGTGTACATCCTGCTCGCTGTCCAACACCTTTGGCCTACTGGCCATAGCCCCCAACATTCCCCACTTGCCCCCAGTCCCTCACTCCACTGCCACCCAACATCCTCTTCATAGTCCAACAACTACTCACTGCCAGCAACTTTCCTGGTGACTCATCAGCACCTCCCTGGCTTAGTGCTCTACTCCTGTACCCAGCTACTCCCAAACAGGGTCACTGCTTGCTCCTCCTCCCTGTCAAACTCACACAACAGGCAACAAATTTTAATAATGAATGGTGTCAGGAACTGGTGTGTGGTGCTGCAGCACCTCCCAGGTTTGTCCCAGGACATCTCCCTTCATGAGGGAGGGGTAGCTGTACCAAACCTGAGTTGTGTTGTAACTCTGCATACCTGGTGAATTGCTGGAGTACCTCTCTATCCTGGATTTCAGGTGATAGAGTAACTTTCTAGACTGCTTTGGCAGCATGAGACCCTGGGGTATACTGCAACAGTTTATTCACTAGCAATCTATTCCTTCCGCCCTTGACGATAGACTAGTCAAAGAGGCAGAAAGCTTCATAACCCCAGAAGCAATATTTCTCTCTCTCTGTTTTATCAAGTGACAAGGGATGGATTACTTGATGATTATTCACTCTGTTCCTTTCCTCAGAGGCACTTGGCATTGGTCACTTTTGGAAGACAGGATATAGGGCTAGATGGCCCTTCAGTCTGGCCTCGTATGGTCATTCTTATGTTCTCTTAATCTGTTCTGCTTTTCTGAAAGCCCCAGCCACAGGAGACATGGTTATATGTAATATTTGGGTTTGGCTGCAATACCTGGGTCTAATTTTGGTTGCTGGGTTTAATGTGTGGGTAATGGTAGTGGTGGTCGTCTGTGTTGTACAGCAGGTCAGGCTACATGATCTGGTGGTCCCTTCTGGGTTAGAACACTATGATCTGATAATCTCAGTTTTTGTTTCTATTCAATGTTTCTAGGTCTCATGAGTACAGAAAAAAGCCTGAAAACGTAACTCAAGTGCATCCCAAAGGCTTAGAAACCAGAAGGCAAAATAAAAATAACCCCTATATTAATCTTGGAGGCCTTTCTTTTGAGTTTTGATTATGAAGTTTCAGTGGTACTATGCACCTGCTCCTCAGTTCCCCCGTTTTTCACATGCAAATATGCTTCTGTGGATAAAGCAGCAGGCAGCTCCTTCAAAGCTTACTGTGCACCTATCCCAGCTTGTACAGTATTCCCTCCATAAGAACAGTGTATAGCACTGCAGGCCAAAGGCTGTACACCCATGCCACTTATCCCTAGGGACACACCGTTATGTCCATAGTTGCTCCTGGAATCATCCAGTGAGGCTTTACGAGCTCCCTCTGGACCAGAGAGCAAGCAGTGGCTGTATCCATAAGCCTCTCTGAGGTTTCCTCCCTACCATCACTAAAATGGAGGTTAATTTTTGCCCTTTTTCTTCCCTTCAGCTCTGGCTCAGCCACAAAACTCGGCAAAGCTACAATCCATGTATGGGCAACCCCATTTCTTGTGTCCAGGCTGCCCACATTGGTAGCAAATAAATGCAAAGCCTCAGCTGGAACTCCTTGGAATTTCCTTCTACCTGTCTATGCCTGTTCCTGCGTTGGGTTCTTCAGTCATCCTCCCTGCTCTGGACCCTTATATGGTTGACCATCCTTTTGGGGAAAGTCTGCCTCTGAATACTGATCTGTTAGTTTCATGGCAGCATCCATCATGCCCAGGTGAGGTTTCATGACCCACAATTGTATGGTCTCAGGGAGGCCCTAATATCAGAGCATCCATTACTTCCTCCACTATTTGGCTATCTGGTCTCAACCAGCAGATGGCCCAGTCCATCAGCTTTTGGGCAAAGGTCTGGGCTATAAACCTCCTGGTCCACTTCACTGATCTGAAATTTTGGAGGTACTTCTCAGTAGATAGTCCCATTTAATCCATGATGGCTGCCCAAACCACGGGCTTCAGCTGTCATTCCTCTTTCACAGCAGTTATTTTTAGTAAGACCTGTTTGTGACTTTTACTAAAAATAACCAGGATAAAATCCTAACCTTAATCATGAGTAATATGCTAAGATGGAGACTGGAGTACAAGGACACTAGGGAGATCCTGTTTGCTCTATGATAATGCAAGTGTGTTGAAAGTGGATGGCTACTGCTAAAGAAACTGGGCCAAATTCAGGCCAGGTGTTGGTGGGGCAATGCCTCGGAACAGAGTGGAGCTATGGTCTTGTATGCCAGGTCTGCAATTGGTCCCTGATATTTTGTAGGCTTCCTACCTGGAATGGAACCTCTGTTAGATATAGGTTTGTCCCGTTCCCCTGAGATAAAGAGCTATTAATTTTTCATGCTGAACAGCCCAGTTTACACATCCACAAATAAATCCTCAATTAGTTTTAAACTTCCCTGACAACTAGCGAGAGCAAATTTAACATGTTTCATTATTTGGGCTGTGTACAGTTCTGCACGCACACAACTACCTTATCTAATCAGTCACTGGTGCCTTCAAAGCGGCAATTCTGAAACATACTGGCCACCAAATCAATTGCAGTCTGTGAGGCCTAACTGACAGAAAATGGTACAGTGCTGATTACTGCTCACCTGATGCTGTGAGGCATGGAGGTAATCTAAAGCAAATGGAGCTTTCCATACCTCCCAATGACACACCTAGTCTGAGGTGCATGGCTGTGAAGTAATTAGCTCTGACTCATGGCACAAAAGGTAAACATGAAGTTCTGCATTATATTGACTAGCAAGTCCTCTCAAAACACTTTGTTCTTGTTATATTCTTGTTACACTACCTTTCAACACAAGGTGAATTGCACTCTTGTTCCGATACCAACATGGGTCCAGGCACCAATAAGTACTGTTTAAATTCTCAAAATAAGGCTTTTAAATGTAATTAAATAAAAAGTACATTTAAAAAAGGATTGTGGCAGGAGGATAGTCAAAAGTGACCTTGACCTAGTATTGGTTATCTAGGAAAGCCAGACATGCAGTGGTTGCCATTAAAAAGTCAACATCCACACTTGCCACACAGTGGTATTTGAGACAGTGAATTTTTTTTTCTATATAGTACTTAAGATAGGAATTACAGGAACAGGAGCCACAGTGTCTCAGCAACTCCTGGCACAAATTCACTTTTTTAGCTTTGTTTGCTTTCTAAGGGTGCGTCTACGCTGCATCATAGGTTGAAATAAGATACACAATTTGAGCTACTCAAATTGTGTATCTTATTTTAGTTTTATTTCAAAATAACTTATTTCCCTCTTAGGTGCTGCAAGACTATTTGTTGTTTTTTAAATTTTTCCAGTAAGTGACATGGCTTTCAAGTTCTATACATGTTTAACATGTAACATACATAATGTTGAGGGCATAAATTACTACTTGATATCAATATGGACTCATTAAAAGCTTACCAACCTGACTCTGCCACCCTTACTTGTGTCCAATAGTATCTGACTCACTGAGTTTTCCTATTTAAACAACATGGGTATGAGTGGAAGAATCTGGGCCTATATTCTTTTGAAAGGTGATCTAGAATCATAGGTAGTATGTGGGTGGCTTGGGTGAACAGAAGCAATGAGTATCAGTTTTTTTTTTGTTTGTTTTGAGGGCAGGCTAAGCTGGCATTGGTAAAGGTAAGTCCACCATTACCATAAAAATGAAATGAAATGGCCATAAAAGTTGTTTAGCCGCATCAATAAAAGAAGTAATTTTCTTTAAAAAATACCTTTTCCTTTTATTCTTGTTTTTACCGGTAATTATGTTTGGGTTTCCAGAGTGTTTTCTGTGAAAAATATAAGATCATTCCCATTGTTTATATAAGGATTGTACTTAATACTGTGAATTATATCTTTGTAAACATGCTTCACACAATATCATATCATATCATATATAATGTAACTAAAACAGATTACATACATACAGGCAGTCCCCGAGTTACGCGGATCCGACTTACGTCGGATCCGCAGTTACGAACGGGGCGTTCCTCTCCCTGCTCTCCAGCAGACCAGGGAGAGGAAGCAAAGCGGCGGAACACGTGGGCAGCGGACAGGGCTGTCAGCTGGCCGCGTCCTCCGCGGCTTGGCTCTGCTTTGCCCCCCCCATCCCTCTGGTCTGCAGACCAGGGGGACGGGGAACAAAGCAGAGCAAAGCCACGGAGCCCGAGGGCAGCAGGACAGCCACGGCGCATCTGGGCTGTACCGCTGCCCCCAAGCTCCATGGCTTTGCTCCGGACACCTGTGGTACAGCAGCTGGGGCGCTGCCAGTTGGTCAGATTCAGCAGCGGCTGAATC